ACCATTAAGAGCCAACAGTCTGCTGAACCTCTCAGCTCCTCCTCTGGCTGCAGGAACGGGCCCACTGAGGAACACATCCATGTTGAGATTTTTAACTGCATTCAGTAGCTGAATAAAATCCTTCTTCAGGATTTAACAATTTACCATAAACAGGTTCTTTTCATCCAGCTGGAGTCACGGTCCTGAGAAGTCCTGCTCTCACTCATATCAGTCCACCTGCAATGTAGCCTTGGTCCGTCGATCTCCTAGTGGTCACTGTGACAATGTTTCTTTTGGTCATTTTCACGAGTGGATGTTTAAGCAAATACTTCGTGACATCCTTTAATGACCTAGGTTTTCATGACATTCTGTTCATCTACAGATAGTGGTTAACGTCACAACAAGACCTTGCTGACAGCAATAATCATTCTTTGATATCATTTGTGTTTATTTTTGTGTTTCCCACTGACCTTGCTGAGTTGACAGAATGGTCAACTGTCCTTTTTTTATTTTAAAGCACAACGGAACACTTTAGAAGGATACGTGTTCGCCATGACGCTTGGCCTTAGTAAGACTCTGGATGTTCGGGTCCAACTTTAAAGGGAAAAAGTGTAACGTTCTGGAAAATATTTAGTCTGTAATTGTGCAGTTCTCATGCCAGCTAATAACAACAGTTTAAAGAAATCTGCTTCAACAAACTTAAACAGCATACTGCCACTCAAATCTCATATTTAGTCCGCGGCTTTGAACATGTTGGTATTTCTGGGTTTTTTTTAAAGTTCACCTGATAATTTTATTTCTTTTTGAATTATGTTTCAGTTTGTTAGACGTTGTTTGACTTTTGGTTGTTTTTGGGATAATTGTTGTTTTCCAATGTGTGTCGTCTGTGCAGTTTGTTTTTTTTAACCCTCCTTAGTTTTTTAACAGACATCTGATTACTTATTGTTTGGGTTTGGTTATATTTTGAAAAATATTTGTCAGTGATTGTGGCCATCAGGGACGCTGGTGTGATGTTTTGTTTTTTTGTTTTTGTTTTTTTGGTTAGCTGGTCCCCTGCATCTTTTGAAATGCCCAGTCACTTATCAAATAATAAAAAAACAGAAGGCCTCAGAGGAAAATGAGATAATACCATGGTTAAACGTGTTGAGACTAAATACAATGACCGTGAGTCTGCAAGGACATTAGCGCGTATTTGCAGTTTCACGTAACGGATCTTTTTAGTTTACACATGTGGGGTAATT